TATGTGGGATCCGAACCCTCGGCGGGAGCGCCGCCGCGCTTCCCAAGCGGCGCACTATAGCAGTGCGCCACCGGGCCGGCCCAGGAGTTTAGGTTTTAACATATGAATTTGCAGAGGGACACAAACCTTCAGACCATAGCAATGTGTCTTGGAGTGGTCAGCACGTGGATGGGTCCATGCTGGAGGGGAGATTTAGAAATCATCTGGTCCAACTTACAAACTTGGCAAATGAGGAAACTGAGGCCCTAGAAGGGGAAGTGAGGCAGCCAAGTCTCTAACGCATTTCGGCTCACTGCCATCAAGTCTAAGCATGCCCCTCCCTTCCTCGAAGGCTTTCAGGGGGTCCTCACTGCCTTCAGACTCCTTCCCCCAAAACACCCCCGAATTAGTCATCGATTGTTGTATAACCAATTACCTCAAATGTAGCAGCTTAAAAGAAAAATAAACGTTCACCATCTCCTAGTCTCTGTAGGTGGCTGGGTGGTTCTGGCGTGGGGTCTTTAAGGAGACTGCAGTCAAGATGTTGGCTGGGGCTGCGTCCTCTGCAGGCTTGATGGGGCTGGAGGATGCACGTCCGCGAGGGCTCACTCACGTGCGGGCAAGCCCGGGCCTCCTGCCAGTGGGAGGTCTCAGCTCCTCTCCCTGTGGGCCTCTCGAGAGAGCTGCTTCATTAAGTGTCCTCATGACACGGTGGCCAGTTTCTCCCAGAGAGTGTGATCCAAGAGAACAAAGAGGACACTGCGGTGTCTGTCATGATCTAGTCTCAGGAATTATCCACCACCGTTTCCATCATATTCTACTCTTTGGAAGTGAGTTACTGAGTCCTGCCCACCATTGAGGGCAGGGAAATTAGGCGCCATCTTTCGAAGGGAAGAATGTCAAAGAATTTGTGGACATATTTTAAAGCCACCACAACCTCCCATATGCACACACCAGCCACACCAAAGTGCATGACCTTTCCCAGCCTGCCTTGTCCCTTCCTGCCTCTGGGCTTTTGCACATGCTGTTCCCCCTGCTTAGAATGCCCTTCCCTCGGTTCCTTTTTCTGTCGGGTAAGCTTTGACTCTGCTGGACTCATTCAGAGACCGTCCTCTCCCCCTCAGGAGGAGTTGCCCACTCACTCCTCTGGGTTCCCTGTCTCTTCAGACACTCTGATCTTGCAGCCATTATTGTAAGCTGGCATGTATGCTCTATGAAAGCGAGTCTTTGGGGTGTCGCCAGCAGGCTGTCAGCTATCAATCCACATTTGTGGAATGAAGGAGTGAAGGTACATTCACCAGTTTCCCCTCCCTGCCCTGCTCTGGGCATGAGTGCTCTCGGGCAGACTGTGCACATGTTTGCAAGCCCGGCACTGTCGCCGGTGCCTGTAGGCACTCCATCAAGGCAGGTTTGTTCCATGTGGGGTCCCACATTTGCCTTGGCTCCTAGCTACTGAGGAACACATGTGAGCCTGAGTCCTCCGAGTGCAGGAAGTTCTCTTGTTCACCCATGTGGCCTGCACAGCTCTTGCTCCAAATCCAGTAATTTACCTGTCAGGTCGTCCTAACCAGGGCCGGCCTCCCATTTAACAAGATGGAGAGAATAAGGCCATCAGGGCGTACCACAGTGTAGCAATTATTGTATAAAGCGGAGAGACTGGGCAGGGGATGCAGTGTTCAAGCAGCTCTTTCTAGGCGAGGAAGAGACGACAACAAATATTAGGCATTGTTAGAGATTGAAATGCTCTCATTTCCTCTCAAAACATATAGGGTTGGTGGGAATTCCTGAAAGAAGGAAAACAGAAAGGCAATGGTGACTGGGGATGCTGGGGGCCACTCTGGGAGCAGCCTAAATGGGTGGCATTTAGGGGATGTCTCTGGGAACATTGACAGACTGAACAGGGGAGCCAGAGACAGGCCACTAACGACCAAGGTGGAAGACTGAGCAGAAGGGTGTGCAGACAGGGCTGTGCTGCAGGAGAGGAGAGGAGAGGAAGTGGGGACATTCTTCCTGCTGGCCTTGGCCGCAGTGCTGTTCCCAGAGTGGGGCCTGCCCCAAGGCTGGGAGGGAGGAGACCTCTGAGTCCTTCGTCACCTCCCATTAGTTGATGTCCTGATATGAGCTAAGAGGCGTTGCAGGGACTCGCATATATCTGACGATTGGGTCCAACCCCCCACCTGCTCCAGGCCCCTGTGCACCCAGGCTCTCTGCCTGCAGTCTCCAAGAGCATGGGTTTGGAGTCAGACCCAGCCTGGAGTTCAAGACGTGGGTTGGCCATCTGCTGGTTGGGTTATCTGGCAGCCAGTGGTGTCTCCTTCCTGAGCCTCAGCTTCCTCGTCAGTAAAACATAGTGTAAGTCCTAGGTGCCCTCACCATGGACGTGCCAGGGTGCTGTGGGCCCATCGGTAAGCCCCTCCTTAGCTTGCTTCTTTGCGCCCCTGCACAGTGCCATGGGGGGCTGAGCTAACCTCTGTAGGTCTGGTGGGCAGGTTAGGGTCTGGCAGGGCTGGTTGCTGCTGTACCGGATTTCTCCAGCTACAATCTCTCTGCCCAGAGAAGGGGAGATGGCTAGGGACCGAGCTCCCTGCTGGACAGACGCCACTCTCCAGCTCCATCATTAATCAACTAATTAATTAATTAATTCAGCAAATGCTTGCCCAGTGGCTTCTGTGTGCCAGGCACTGTCCTCAGCACAGGGACGCAGCAGTGACTGCTCTGGGCGCCGTCTGGCTCACCTGACCTCCCTGACTCCTCCTTGTGCGCTGGAGGAGTCTCTTCTGACTGTGTTTTTCTCCCTCTGGCTTCATCCTCCTAGGGACTTGAGTGAGAACGCCATCCAGGCCATCCCCAGGAAAGCTTTCCGTGGAGCCACAGACCTCAAAAACTTGTGAGTGCAGGCCTGGGAGGGGAAGGGTGCAGGGCTCCTGGGCTCCCCAGCAACAGCCTCATGCGTCTCCTGAGCCGTGTGGTCCAGGGAGTCGGGGAGCAGACTGGGGCTCTGAGATGGCTGGTGCCTTCTGGAACAATCTGGGGTTGGAGGAAACAGCATACCTGCCTGTCCCTCTGGTGTAATTCTGTGTGAGAGCCAAGAAAATGCTCAGGGGACCCTGGGGACCGGGCTGAAGAGTGTCATGAACTGTGGTGCATGGGTGATTGTTCTTGGTCCATTTATTAAATTTATTAAGTGGTCCACTTATTAAATGGACCTTCAGTGCCCTCATCTTTGGATTGGGAGAGCTGGCCTGGAATCTTTTCTTCCAGTTACGCATTGTTTAAGCTGCTGTAAGTCAGTTAAGTTCACTGAACCTCAATATATTGTTCTGGAAAATGGGGAAGATAATATTTACCTCACAGGCTTGTTCTGAGGGTTAAATGAGATATGGAAATATATATACTTTGTCAAATGCTATTTAAATGTAATGGTTTATTGTTATTATTCAAACTTACACTGGTCCAGGCTTACCACCTCCCTGAGGTCTAACTACCGACGGGATGGCAATCCCTGGCATGCTTGTCACAGCCCCTTGTCATGCCTGTGGCAGACATTGGTAATTGATCACCGCATTCTTTCCCCGTGAGCTCAAATCACAGCTTCAGTTTGTTCTGAAAGCAGCACTGCATGCAGCCTCTGCTAGGCAATCCCTTCTGGCTCGCAGGCTGAAACCTGCCTGCCAGCTCCAGCTGCCACCACTCCTAGGTTACACTCTCTCCCTTTCAGCTGCCAGCACCCTCTAGGTGGGCTCCAAAATGTGAGGTAGGAGTGCCTGCCCTCCTGGGAATATGCAAGGTTGAGTGGAGGAATATAACAGAACTTTTATTTATATTTATTGTTTTAACTGAAAATAAGAAAAAATTTAAGCTGTTATTAACATTTACTATTTGGATCCACACGTGTCCATAACAAATGATTGGGGAAGTGCCTCTTTTTTAAAACTCGTGGGATGCTTGATCAAAACATTTGGACACCCCTGTTTTAGGCAGTGTGCCCCCTCTCTACAGCCTTCCTTTGCTTCACAGACAGCTGGACAAGAACCAGATCAGCTGCATTGAGGAAGGGGCCTTCCGGGCTCTGCGGGGGCTGGAGGTGCTGTAAGTAGAACGTGGGGCAGGAAGGAGGGTGTGGGGAGCCTGGCTGATGTGTGTGCCATGGCTCGGGGTCAGGGAGCACAGGGGGCAGGGGACCTGGGGGTGGGTTCCAGGCCCAGGGCGGAGGCGTTGCTCTCCCTCCGCTCTGCTAGAATCACAGCACTAGGAGGGGAGAACGCGGCTCATGGGCCTTGCCTGCAACAGCTGCCCCAGGCTTCACCTGCTGGGGATGAAACCCAGGGTGAGTGGCTGTGTCTTTGGGGTGTTTCTGACACTTGAGGCTGGAGTGCCTCCCCCTCTCCTTCTGTCTAAACTCTACCCTTTCCGCCAAGCCAGCCCGAGCCTGCGACACATCCTCGCAGTCTCCCTGCTCCATCTCTCTGTCCTGCCAGAACAGGGGGCAGGGGACCTGGGGGTGGGTTCCAGGCCCAGGGCGGAGGCGTTGCTCTCCCTCCGTTCTGCTAGAATCACAGCACTAGGAGGGGAGAACGCGGCTTATGGGCCTTGCCTGCAACAGCTGCCCCAGGCTTCACCTGCTGGGGATGAAACCCAGGGTGAGTGGCTGTGTCTTCGGGGTGTTTCTGACACTTGAGGCTGGAGTGCCTCCCCCTCTCCTTCTGTCTAAACTCTACCCTTTCGGCCAAGCCAGCCCGAGCCTGCGACACATCCTCGCAGTCTCCCTGCTCCATCTCTCTGTCCTGCCAGAGGTGGAGGCTGTGGTGCAGTGGCTCGGAATCACTGTTCCAGCTCAGGGCTTTCCCCATGCGGGGAGGGGCGGGGGTGTCTCATGCTCTTCTGTGCAGCGCTCCCCCCACCCCCACGTCCAGCCTGGCGCTGGTTCACCTTGAGGGTGGACCACCGAACCTGGCGCGAGAGCCTCCGTTTGTTAGCAGAGGCCCTGTCCCATGTAACTTCCTGCTGGGCAGATGCTAAATGACCCCGGTCTCTCCCTTTTAGGACCCTGAACAACAACAACATCACCACCATTCCTGTGTCCAGCTTCAACCACATGCCCAAGCTACGGACCTTGTGAGTCAGCGCCCGACGTGGCTGCTGGGGAAGGAGCAGCAGGGGCGGGTGGGGAGGCAGCTGGAGGCTTCTGCGGGCAGGGACCAGAGCGCCTTCTCCTCTGCACCCCCAGAGGCCAGCCCAGGGTGGGGGCTCAGTAGCCGGGAGGGGGAGGAAGATGATCTACAATTGCAGAGCATACAATGTCATCTATATCTGATTTTTCCTTGGGAAACAGATGATCGGTTTAGTGTTTGCAAACGTGTTAGGTGATTTGGGGTGGTGATTCTGTGCGGGCTTAGTGAAGTGAACTGATATGTGCTGGGCACACTCCGGCCGGAGGCAGGCCCCAGAGCCTGGCGAAGGGGCTCTTCACATAGCTGTGGGTAATCCCCGGGCTGGGGCTGAGCTGCGAGATGACTGAACATAGACTGTGTTTGGGCTGAACGCGGCACGGGGGCTTCACCTCCTGCCTGGGGCAGGAGCTGGGGCTCCAGGTGGGTCATGAGCTACTCTGTCCTCCTGTAGCCGCCTGCACTCCAACCACCTGTTCTGCGACTGCCACCTGGCCTGGCTTTCGCAGTGGCTCAGGCAGCGGCCAACCATCGGGCTCTTCACCCAGTGCTCGGGCCCTGCCAGCCTGCGTGGCCTCAATGTGGCCGAGGTCCAGAAGAGTGAGTTCAGCTGCTCAGGTGGGTGCAGGCCCTGCCAGGGCTCTCAACTGCCCCTCACATCCTGCCCACCCATTGCTTCTTCCTGCCCCAGCACTGCTCCCTCCCATTACCACCTGTGACCATGCATTAGCACCTGGCCCACCCATCACCTCCTGTCCCCAACCATCACCTCCTTTCTCTGTCCGTCACCTCTTGTCCTTACCTGTCACCTCCTTTCTCTACCCGTCACCTCCTGTCCCGACTGTCACCTCCTTTCTCTACCCATCACACCTTGTCCTCAACCACCACCTCTGGTACTTGTCTGTCACCTCCTGTCCTCTCCCATTGCCTTTGTCCCTACGTATCCTTTCTTGCCTCCTCTTCCCTCACCCTCCTGCCCCCCTACTGCCTTCTTCACTCGTTGCCCCCTTCTGTCCCACCTTCTCCTCTCTCCGCTTCTCCCCAGCGCCTCCTCCCCTTTCCTCCTGGCCTCTCACCCACCCCTCTCCTGGGTCCTCCCCACGCCTCACACCTCCTATCACCACCTCTCCCCTCCTCCCACTGCCTCACCCCCGCCACTGTGACAAGCCACCGCACTGGGCCCTCTAACCTTGCTTCCAGGTGAGGTGGGCCCCAGAGCCCATGCCCCTTCATCTTGCACCTGGGGTCCTGTGATAGCCTCCCAACTGGTCACCCACTTCCTCCCTTGTCCCTTTGATCGCTGTACTGTAGCTGGAAAGGCCTAAAAGAACCCACAGTCTGGGTGTCACTGCCACATGTGTTCACCTGTCCCCCAGTGCTCCTGCGAGAGTCAGAACTGCTGACAATCTTGCAAGGCCTGGGCAGGCCCTGCCTTCCCGCCCGCGGCCTCCTCGCTGGCTCACTGCCCCCAGCCACACACGCCTCTGCGCCTTTCTGGAGCAGGTGCCTCCCACCCAGCCTTCTCCCAGACTGCTCCCCTGTTGAGTACACCCTTCCCTCCTTGTTGCCTGTGACTCCTCTTCCCCTCTGCCCCCAGCCACACACGCCTCTGCGCCTTTCTGGAGCAGGTGCCTCCCACCCAGCCTTCTGCCAGACTGCTCCCCTGTTGAGTACACCCTTCCCTCCTTGTTGCCTGTGACTCCTCTTCCCCCTGCAGAGTCCAGGGGGCCTTCTTGGACCCCAGATGAGGTCCACCATAGACTGAGCACAGAAAGTACATGTGTCATGTCTTCTGGCCATATTCTAAGCACTTTTCCCATGCTTGGCACATATAGATGGTCAAGAAATGTTTGCTGAGTAGATGGGTGGTTCTCAGATTCATAACAGATGACTTAGGGACTGACCATTTCTCCCAAACCTTTGGACTCAGAGCCTGCCAGCCACACAGAAAGCATCTCTGAAGGGAAGCGTCTGCTAGGCTCGGCCTCCTCGCCCCGGTGTGAAGCTCTGGGTTGTGGCTGTCACTCCTCCATAGCACTGGCAGGTGCCTGAGACTGGGCTGGAGCACCGCTGTGCTCTGGGCTGCCGTGTGTGTGTGTGTGTGTGTGTGTGTGTGTGTGTTGGGCTGCCGTGTGTGTGTGTGTGTGTGTGTGTGATGAGAGAGAGTGTCTGTGTGTGTATGAATGTGTGTGCACACATGTGGCTTTGTGTTCCTGTGTGAGGAGAGCCTGGGCCAAAGCTGCGCCTCTGAGCGATTTCAGCTGCCACAGTTTTTAGGAACAGGAATGGATTACTCACTTGGGCAATTTTTATTTCGAAATGAAACCTTTTCCTTTGCATTGGAATGCCCTGATTTCTATATTCAGACGTTATTTTCTCCCCTGGAGTCTGTTCATCCTGGCAACTCCTTTTCTGAGAAGGACACTTTCCCAATTTGCCAGGAGTCATCACAGCTTTGTCTCATTGGTCTTGGTGCCCACCCTTTGGGGTAGCTAAAGAAAGCAACAGAGGTTAGGAGGCTGGCGGGAGTGTGAATCGGCTCAGCCACTTTGCAGAACTGTCTAGCAGGATCCACTAACACTCAACATATGTCTCCCCCACGACCCAGCAACTCCACTGCTAGGGATGTGCATTTGTTCTACAAAAAGCATATCTAAGAATATTCAAGGCAGCTTTTTCCACAATAGCTCACAATTGACCACCCAAATGCCCACCGACAAGAGAATGGATGAACTAATTATGATACACCATATAATGGCATACTACTCGGCAATGAAAACAAACAAACTACTGATACATACAACAACGTGGTGCATCTCAAAGATTTTATATTGAGGGGGAAAAGCCAGACACAAAAGAGAACATACTGTGAAATTTTGTTTATGTGAAATTCACAAACAAGCAGAGCAAATCTTTGGTGATAGATCTCAGAATAGTGGTCACTTTGGGGAAAGGGCAGGAGGGAGCCTTCTTGGGTGACAGAAATGTTCCAGTCTGGGTGGTGGTTCAACCAGCCACATACTCAAGACAGTGCACTTTATGTAAGCTACACCTCAATTTTTAAAAAGTGTGGGCTCTTATGTCAGACACTGGGCTTGATCCTAGTTTGACCACCTATTAATTCAACTGTGTGAATTTCTACAAATTATCTGTTTTCTCACATGTGAAATAGCAGCAATAATATGTGGGGTTGTGCAGCAGGGTTTAAATGAGGTACTGCATGTGCTACATGTACTGCATGTGGCATGAGTAATCACTCGGTAAACAGTCATTGTCATCCTCATGTGATGGATGTGAGGACTCGGGCTCAGAGGTGTTAAGTGACTCGGACTAAAACCCGGATCTTCAGAATTCTAGGCCAGGATTTCCTAGAGTGTGACTCACACTCTCATGCAGCACAATTTGGTTCAGATTCAAGTTCAGCAAACATCTGACAAGCACCTGCTGTGTGCCAGGCACCCACAGTTACACCAAAGTCCAGAATCTCTTATTTCCTGCACCCTTGGTGATCTCTGGTTCCTCCTCATCCAGGGAAACTGCCACGGTGCACCCTGTCCCCACTCATCAGTCTGTACCTGGGGAGGCAGGACAGCCTGAGGTCACAGCCCCTGTTTCCGCAGGCCAGGGGGAGGCGGGGCGCGTGCCTTCCTGCACCCTCTCCTCCGGCTCCTGCCCGGCCATGTGCACCTGCAGCAACGGCATCGTGGACTGTCGGGGCAAAGGCCTCACTGCCATCCCCGCCAACCTGCCTGAGACCATGACGGAGATGTGAGTACAGGGCAGAGCAGATGCTGAGACACAGGCCCCTTGGGCCAGGCCAGTAAAGAGCTGGAGTAGGTGCACCCAGAGCTTGCCCCAAGGCCCCTCTGTGGCAAATGGCAAAGTCACAGTTTCTTAAGGCTGGGAAACTCTGGAGGGTTGGGGACAGGTATCCCTCTGTGGCCCCTCTGTCCAGCCCACCCGCGGGAGTCTGCCAGAACCAGTTCTTAGTATTAGCGTCATTCTCAAGGCCCCATTCAGCCATGGAAGCCTGGGATGAGGGAGCTCAAATCACAGCAGCTCCTTTCCTCCGCCTGTGCCAGCCCACCTACCCCAGACTTCAGCCTCCAGAAGGGGGAAGGGCGAAGGAAAGGAAGAGCCCAGCAGACAATAGCCAGGGCTGGGATGACCTGGGCCTCCTGTGTCCCCTCTGCTCTCTCTCTCTGCAGCCGCCTGGAGCTCAACGGAATCAAGTCCATCCCCCCAGGAGCCTTCTCTCCCTACAGGAAGCTGCGGCGGATGTGAGTGTCTCACGCTGATTCCTAGGGAGTCACACAGGGCAGGAAGAAGAGCATGGCTGAGGTCCCTGGGCCAGCGCCTGCCTGCCCTATGGGTGTTCATCTGTGACCTGGGGATGGTGGTGGTGTGACCTCCTCGCAGGGTTGTCGTGAGGCCTGGGGTGGCGGCTGCTGAGCCTGAGTTTGGCACGGGGCCAGGGCTGCTTGTCATCCTGTTTCAACTTGGGCACCCAGAGGATCAATTAAGGGCATGAGTAGACTGAAGGAGACAGCCAGGATGGTGGGAAAGCTTCCCTAACTTCCCAAGCTGGAGTGCCCCCGTGCGCACAGCTCTCAGTCTGCACAGGGTAATAGCAGCCCCTGGGGCTTCGAGTGGACAGGAGAACTGGCCTCTCACTTTTCTAATTGCAAAGAAACCCCTGCCCTCTCACAGGGGCTAGGAGGTAGAGGGGACCGGGCAGGGTTTGGTGGCCACTAAGAGATTCAGCTGCCTCTTCTCACCTTGCAGAGATCTGAGCAACAACCAGATCGCAGAGATCGCGCCCGACGCGTTCCAGGGCCTCCGCTCCCTGAACTCCCTGTGAGTAGCAGTGCCACGTCTCCCTCCAAAAAGCCCCGCCCATCCTGGCCTCAGTGGGTCTCCCTCTGGCTGCAAAGTTCAAGGTTTCTGGGGCCAGCTCCCTCTTGCTTACCAGTGGACCTTCTGCAGCCGGGAGGGTGAGGAGGGAGCCCAGGGCGGAGTGCAGGGAAAAGCTAGGCAGAGCCGTTGCCCCTAGCAACAGGGATGCTCTCCCCACCAGGGTGGAGATTTCCCCAGCATTCTTCGTGGCAGTCATCTTGGCCCTGCCTCCCCACAGAAGCCCAACATGCCATGCTCCTGAGCCTTGTCCTGGTCACCCACAGAGACAGTGACCACCAAATCCGATGGTGACATCTGCCACACCTTGCTATCTTTTATCCCAAGTGTGCTCCATTCCAAGACATGATGGGTGATGTGAAGACAGTGTTTTCCTCTTCCTCTGCCTCTGTCCAGTATTTGCCTTCACTCAAGGGTCTATCAGGAGGTCCCTCAATCTACAAAATGTCCTGCAGCATTGACTTTTCCCAAGAACCCTTGCTAGCACCCCCAGATTCAGCAAGCCCCTCACTCTCTGAGGTCCCGTGGCACTTTGTCTATAGAGAGAGTGCATTCAGTGTGCCCTGTATTTGAGCGAGCTCCCTGGGGGTAAGGGCTATTTGTTATTCTTAGGAATGAGGTTTTCATCTGCCCTTGGGCAGCACTGGACACATGTGTGGCATAGATTAGAGGCCTGGCACGTGGAACAGAATGGAGCTCCCCTTTGGGGAGTGCAGGAGGCTGCCAGCTTAGTGCCTTCGGTGCATGCCATCTTCTCTTGGAGTAGAGTGCAAGGTAGTGGGTGGGGCCAACTGTGAATGGCACCACTGAAATTGTGCAGTGCACAACCTACACAGCTTTACATGACAGCCTGTGGTGGATCCCTATCATTGGTGAGGAGCTCGGATCCTGGAGGGGGGCTGCCAAAATGCAGGGCTCTTCCTCTGAGAAGTGAATAAAGCTCTCCTAAGTTGGATCATGCCAGCCTAAAGCAGTGAAAAGTGAAATAAGTGGGTTTCTGTTGTATATGAGTTTGTGATCACAGCCACCTCCCCACCATATAGGAACTTGCATGCTGATGTCATGCCAATAGATCCGGTAAAGGGGGTCCACCTGGGCCAGCTCTGACCTTATCTCCTTGCTTCAGCCTCTGCTCCCTCGCTCTATTTTCCACACAGCAGCTTGAGGAAGGCTTCTGAATTGGGAATCTGATCATGTCTCAATGGCTTCCTGATGCTGGCTGCATAAAACCCAAATGTCCCCTTGTTTCTTCCACTCAAGCCACACCAGCCTTGTCAGCTGTCTACCCAGGCCGACCCACATCCCACCTCAGGGCGTTTACTCCTGCCGCACTCCACCCCTCCAGGAGTGCTGTTGAAATCATGTTTGAAGAGGCGGCACATGGACTTTTTACTCAGACAGGACTTTTACAAGGATAGCTTGTGGGGGCTGGTTATGATATTAGGAATGGAATACTGCTCCCCTCCCCTCCCCTGGAGGCTTTCATTGTCCTCCTGGACCTGTTCCTGTCTGCATGTGTTTTTTTAACTTTTGTGTTTTTTCTCCTTATACATGGAATTCAAGCTCAATGCAGACAACTTTGAAAATACTAAAGTATAAGAAAAAAACTCTTGAAATCCCACCACTCAGATCACATACTACATGTGCATCTACTCTGGCATTCCATTTTTTCCCCTGAAACTCTCTAAAGATAAGTTAGTTTTCCCTGTCCATGGAATTTCTCTTCTTGGAACAGTCTCCTTTTGGATTCTGGGCCAGGTTAATTTCCCATGAGGTTTTCCAGAAGGGCCCCTTTGCAGGCTTCTGGGGGGTCTATGTGTGAAGGTGGGGGGGTGGGCAGGAGCTGCTCCTGCAGTTATGGGGATCAGGGCTTCCTCCAGCCCGCGGGGTACCTTTGTGCAAACTAGAAACAGGTGACCCTTTCTGAAGACCCTTTGCTGCCATCTGTGGGCAAGTTGCTACAACATACACTGCTAGGTGTGTTGAGCGGTGGGTGACCTGCAGAGCTATGCCATAGCCCTGGTTGTCTAATCCTCTAACCCTTTCTTTCTGCTAACTGTTCTCCAGGGTCCTCTATGGGAACAAGATCACAGACCTCCCCCGTGGTGTGTTTGGAGGCCTGTATACCCTACAGCTTCTGTAAGTACCAGTCCTAGGATGTGCTTGGGTGGGGCCAAGGGAGGGGGTTGGCATTTCTCTGGCTTCCCAGACTGGCCCTTTTGGCCTCATTGGGGTAAGGGACTCACTTGAGACAAGGAACTTGGGAGACAGGCAGAGCTGTTAGGGCTGAGAGGCCACAGGGCTCTGCAGAGGCCAGAGAAGGAGGTAGAAGCAGGTTCAGAGCTGATAGCAGGATGCCAGAGCCAAGGTTCCTGAGACTCAGCCTGCATTCCTGAGCAGCTCTGAGTAGCTGGGGACAGAATTGTCTCCCGAAGGGGACGCCCAGGCCAGCTCAGCCTCCTTGAACCATGAGCATTCAGGCAAGGGTTCTCTCCCAGGACCCAAGAGGCATGAACCCAAATGCTGCACCTCAGCTGTCTGGGGACCCAGCAGAACTCTGGGAAGGAGGAGGAGCCTCCAAAATGCCTTGGGAGGTGTCTTTTCCCCTATGCTCTCTGCTTTCTCAGAATCCCATGGGCCTCACTAGCAGTTCCCTGGTGTGTGTGGGGGGGGAATAGGCAAACTGAGATGTCCCCGTGCGTGGAGAAGGCAGTCGGAGTTTCTGGCTCCTCTGCATGGAGTGGACATCCAGGGGCAGATTCCCTGGGCCCTGTACTAATGCATGCCCCGGGCTGAGGAAGTGCCTAAGACTTGTGAGGAGTTTGATCCCGTGCCTCTCCTCTCACCACCTGGCCCTGGCTCTGCCCCCACAGGCTCCTGAATGCCAACAAGATCAACTGCATCCGGCCTGACGCCTTCCAGGACCTGCAGAACCTCTCGCTGCTCTCCCTGTATGACAACAAGATCCAGGGTCTCGCCAAGGGCACCTTCACCTCCCTGCGGGCCATCCAGACCCTGTGAGTGCCCTTCTGCCGTCCTCTTCTCCCTCCCTCCACGCTTCCCTCCCTGCAGGCCACACAGCAGGAAGGCCCCCGCGGGTGGCCTAGGGGGAGGCTACAGCCCCCAGGTACAGGCAGCTGTCCCACCTGGGCTGCCGTGCTCACTGGTGTGGTCCTTATGTGAGGAAGCACATGGACTGTGGGTTAGACAATCCCGGGTTTAAAGTCTAGCTATGTCTCTTATTGGCTGTGTGACCTTGGGCAACTTAATTAGCTTCTCTGGTCCTCATTTTTATTTATCCATATAATGGGGACACCTTTGTAGAATTGTTATGAGATTAAAAGGGGTGTTTCATGGGCAACTTAATTAGCTTCTCTGGTCCTCATTTTTATTTATCCATATAATGGGGACACCTTCTTTGTAGAATTGTTATGAGATTAAAAGGGGTGTTTCAGGCCAGCCTGTGGCTCACTTGGGAGAGTGCAGTGCTGATAACACCAAGGCCCCGGGTTTGGATGTGCTGATAACACCAAGGCCC